CGACAAATGTAATATTAGGCTAAGGCTGGTATTGCATTTGTCGTACAGCAAAATTTTCAAGCGTGTCGATTGGCAGCAAAATAGTAAAATTCTCGAGTATCTAGGAATTTTCTATTCAGCGGCCAATCAACGCACTTAAAAAATTTGTCCTACGACAAATGTAATATTAGGCTAACAATAAGGCTGGTATTGCATTTGTCGTACGGCAAAGTTTTCAAGCGTGTCGACTGGCCACAAAATAGTAAAATTCTCGAGTATCTAGGAATTTTCTATTCAGCGGCCAATCAACGCGCTTAAAAAATTTGTCGTACGACAAACGTAACATTAGGTTAACCGGTAAACTGAAAAATCTCCTGAGACGACGCGGGAGGGGGAGGCGGGGATGCGAGAAGTTTTCGAGAATCCATCGAAGCGAGACGCGAAACGCGCGCCTTTTGCGAAGCACCGGGCGCGGGGCGTAACTTATTTCCGTTTCCACGAGTCGCGAGAGAGGTCCGCGGTTCACGTAATCGCGACGCAAGATCCGAAGCTAAATCGAATCGCCGACAACAACAAGACGTTCATAGAGTATTTACGTTACATCGTCTCTCGCGCGGCATTTCAAAAATTATATCTCGACGCCGCTCGAACCTGCGCGCGCGCGCGCGCGCCCGCATGCCTGTGTCCGTGCGTATATACGAGGGCATAATCCGCGAATAAAAGCTAGGAGGTCCGCGTCTTTCCGCGGGGCGTTTTCCTCTCGCGCGCGCGAGGAACCGTCACGCGGCGAGGCGGACGTCTGGCGGCCAGGAGCCGCCACGGCGGGAACCATTGTTCGCGAAACTCGACGAGTCGAGGGAACACGAAGGCGAACCTAACCTCAACGCGCGCTCGCCGCTCGCGCGTCGTTGCGGCTTCTGATCGTCGATCGCTCGGGCGGGAAGGGAGGGGAGGGGGGGGAAGCGATCTATTTGCAAGTTGGAGACAAACGCACGCACTCGAGGAGGCGAGAAGGGGGGGGGGGCGAAGGGAACGCGCGATCTTGGCGGGGACGGTAGGGCTCGCTCGAGCGAGGCGCGGGAGAGAATACGTGCGCGCGTGTCGAACAATTTCGACTCACCCTCGGGTCTCGTGGAAGTGCCGGAGGTCCTTGAGGAAGTTCTCCCTCTCCTTCTCGTACGTGACGGGGTCCTTGTTGAGGATCTTGGCCATGTTCGCGGGTACGAGTGGCGCGCGAGTGCGGGCGTGCTAGTCGGGGTGGTGTGCTCCGGGTTTACAGGGCACGCAGGGGCAGCGGGCTGAGAGGCAGGAGGTGCAGCACATGGGCGCGCACGGGGGCACATTTACGCGAGGAGCGTCCTGCTGCCGCTGGTCTTAGGACGACGACGCACGACGACGGCGACGGCGGCGACGGCGGCGACGCGCGGAGGCGAAGTCGAGGGCGACCGCGGGTCGACACGGGGTCGCGACCCGCGCCCGACATCGGGTCGTCTTGTCCTGCACCCAAGTCGGCCGGTGGCCCCTTCGATGCCTCTGTGTGTCTCGCGTTCTCTCTCTCTCTCGCTCTCTCTCTGTCCCTCGCGTTCTTTCTCCGCCTCTTTTCTCTCGCGCACACACACAACACGCGCGCGCAACACACACAACACACACACGCGCACACACACAAACACACTCCCCGTCTTTCTTCGTCTTCCTCTTCTTTATCCGTCGGCCGCGCGCTCGCTCACTCGCTCTCTCGCTCGCGCGCGCGAAACGAGACGGCGACGACGGCGGCGGCGGCTTTTCCCTGCCGTACCGCCGCCCCCGGATTGCCCGCTCGCCGCCGCGTAACGGCGTACAACGCTCCCGCGGGCGTTCGCGCGCGCGGTCCCTCACGCGCGCCGCGTGCACGAAAAATCACGGTACGCGCCACCGGGGGAGATAGTCAGCAGCGGGCGAGCAAGCGACCCGCGTTTCACGCGGGGTACAGTGCTGCACGGCGCGGCACGGCACGACACGACACGGCACGACACAGTACCGCTCCACTCGGCTCCGCTCGGCTCTGCTCCGATCCGTTTCGCTCTCCGCTCTCGGCCCGCGCGAGCGGCGACAATGATGACAACGACAACGGCGACGAGGACGATGACGAACGGCGAAGAGCCTCGCTCTTTCTCTCTGTCTCTCTCTCTCTCTCTCTCGTAGGCCCCCGATCGATTCACCTGTCACTTGTCAACGAAACTCACGGGGAGATCCGTTGCGCCACGCTAGCACGGCAGCCAGCCGCCTCGCGTTGCCCGGCCCCAGCTCGCGTAACGCCCGAATTCGGCCCCGCGGCCGTGTCCTACGCAGGCCGGCGGTGAGCGACTCGCGGGGAGCGCGTTTCACTGCGTGCGAGAGGCGAAGCGCTTGACGTGCGCCCGTATATCAAAATGGCGTCCCGTGGCTGCCTCGGCATCCATTGGCGAAGCCACCGCGGCCAATTTCCCGTAACGCCACCGCCGCGATCGCTACGACGCGCGCCGCACGACGGCACACCGCGCACCCGTTTCCGCTCAGCAGCAGGCAGCAGGCAGCACCACACACACGGTGTCGGGCAGCGCGCGCGCTCTCCACTCCGCCTGCCACTCCGCGAACGCGTAGACGCTCCTACGTCATTTTACGCGCGGCCACACTCCGCGCGTAAGCACAGTACGTACAGGCCCCGCCGCGACCCGTATCGGCGTGTCTCTCCCCCACGGCTTTTTTACCCGCGGCGCGCCGTACCGTCCGACCGACCACGAAAATCCCGGATCGCACAGTAGTACATTTTTACTTTCAAAATGGATGGGCGGCCCCCCACCACCGGAGTCGAGATCGGCGCACGGTTTGAATCGACGCCCCTGCCGGACGCCGCTGGCCCCGCGCGCGCGACCCGTCTCGCCGCCGCGTGCCGCCATCTGTCGGCGCCCGTGCGCGGCCGCTCGTGGCGGCGCGGGAGCCGCGCGCGGCCTCGAACGTTTCGAATCGTCCCATTGTTCGCCGGCTTCGTTCCATTTTTTTAAGGGGTCACTCCACCACTTTAACGGCCCAAAAACTACGCTTGGACGTTTTCCAGCAAGGACACAGTGTAACACAGCGAATCGTTTCATCCTTGTTTAACATTGGCAAACAACAAGGATGTGATGATTTACAGTGTAAAGCCCGCTGCAGACGATGCTATTTTTCCTGCTGGATTGCTTGCGATTTAGTAAATTACTATTATTGCACCACTCAGCATTCAGGATTCCTAGTAATTTACTAAATTGCAAGCAATCCAGCAGGAAAAATAGCATCGTCTGCAGCGGGCTTTACACTGTGTCACATTGTGTCCTCGCTGGAAAACGCCCCTTATCTTCAACAATTTTTTTCACTGTAAATACAGCGTGCAATGAAACGAATCTTTTTGGGCTTTATTAGGGCACTCTTAAATAACACCAAAAAATGTTTGTCATAATTCAAACAATGTTTTGATTAGGCGTTTTCTGCGCCCGTCGAATGGCGTGTCGAAAAATATGCGCGTCCGCTGCGTTGATAACTTTATCGTTCAGGCTTAAGCCCGCTGCAGACGATGCTATTTTTTCTGCTGGATTGCTTGCAATCTAATAAATTACTATCGTTGCACCATTCAGCACTCAGGATTCCTAGTAATTTAGTAAATCACAAGCAATCCAGCAGGAAAAATAGCATCGTCTGCAGCGAGCTTTAGGCTGGATTCAGACTGAACGCGACGAGCGATATCCAATGGGCGTACAGTCTAGGAAAACTATACGCTTTCCCCTGTACCCTGTACGCCCATTGGATAATCGCTCGTCGCTCATCGCTCATCGCGTTCAGTCTGAATCCAGCCTCCCCCTGAAACGAAAAGTCAAAAAGATTCTTAATTTACACGAGTGTCGCTATGTCCCGAAACTCAATTAAGAATGTTTATTTAAAAGTAACGAAATGGCGCCAGTTTTAAAGCAGTTTCGAAAAGTACTTTTTCTGTCGTGTTCTATTTGTAGACCGGGCTTGAAGTTAAACGACGTTGGTGAACCGGGCTTTAAGCCCGTATCGGACTGTGGATTGAGATGAAATTTGGCCAATTAGAATAAAAGTTACTAAAGATCAGTAAACTTTACTGTCATTGGATAAATTTCAACGTAATCCCAATTTCAATCCGTAAAGTCTGATACGGGCTTTAAGCTCAGTTCGTTCTTTCTCTTTTCAACTGTTTTACTTTAGAAAGAGACAAACGTGAATCAAACTGAGATTAAAATTAAACCAAGACCAATATGATAACACATTAAATATTAAAAATCTTGCAAAATCATCATTGCTCGTGAATCTATTTGGCCTATTTTAAATTAAAATTATCAAACTGATACGAGCCTAGTATTATTATTTATTAAAATTAAACGTTTGGCGAGACCGAGCCTCAGAAAGAGACGAAGCCGCTCACTTTTTAGCATCTTCGCTACATTGTAGGATACAGAATTGAGCCCCGGATCGCGGGATTCGCGGGTCGCGCAAGACGTCGCTCGCTTCCGCTCGATTATGGACGTCGATCGCGCGTGGAAGCGACATCATTTACGAGTCCCTCACGTGGCCGAGGACGCGTGGCGTTCGACCGGGCGACTCGGTGAATCCGACGATGACGTACAAACGTAAAAAGTACCACCGCGGCGACACGCATCTGAAGAAGGGCTGGCGAACGAAGCGGAGAACGAAGGACCTGGACGAGGTGAGTCGCGCCGCGCCGATCTTCCCTTAACCTCCTCCCTAGCCTAACCTAATCTCCCCGACACGCGCACGTGTCCCTGCGCTCGCGATCGCCCGCTCGCTCGAGTAATCGCGGATCCGTCATTTCCAGATCAACGAGGACCTCAGGGAGGAGAACGCGAGGAGTCTGCTGAACCAGGAGCCGGACTTCGACAGGCCCGGGGCGGCCCAGCATTACTGCGTGCATTGCGCGTAAGTCTCGGCGATCCGACCTAACCTCTCGCGGAGAGAGAGAGAGAGAGAGAGAGATTACCAAAGTTGTTGCAAATTCGAATCACTTTGTGCCGCGTGAACGCTGTTCTGCTCGGTGACGCGTAAGCAAAATTGAAGTGGCTGCACTTGGTACTCGAGGAATGAGACGAATAACCGTCTGTCATTGTATATTTCAGTGCCTCGGAGGTGGACGGTGTTGAGTCACGTTTTCTCTTCGAAAACGATATCCTTGTGTCTTAACTTGAATCGATAGGCCAATGTCCACGATGCTAGAACTTGGTCCAAGTTCTGGTTTCGAGAAACGTGTAGCCAATCAGCTTGCAGCTTTTATGGAACAGCTGCACGTTGATTGGCTACAGATTTCTCGAAACTTGGACCAAGTTCTAGCATCGTGGACATTGGGCTTATCAGCGGTAAACAGAATTACGTCCACGCAGTTTTGCAGAAAATGGCGCAGCATGTTAAGTCCTTCCTTGTCCGAGATAAGCTGCTGATATAACACGGAACGATTATTCATTTTCTCCTGAGAAACGCTAGCGAAGTACGTTATTTCAAAGTGTCGACATCAAATTGATGAGAAACTTTCCAATGACTCCCCCTGTAAAATTTCGGCTCTTGCGACTTAACACAGTTCAACTCTGAGGCACTGAATGTAGAACCCGGTTTACTTTTGCTGTGATATGGGAAGACTAACTGCAAAGTACATGCTTTCAGCAGATATGAAGAGCAACATTGTCACGTACAACATGTTTCCATCTGAGACAATATCGTTTTCCACTTAGAGTCCACTTGTCTGATTTGTATTGAGTCACACACATGGCACCACATGTGGCGCTGTGTTGCCTATAGAGTGTCATTTTGTATGTCGAAATAACGTTCCAGCAATAGCGAGAAGTTTTACAAAATACAGGAAATAGTATCTATATTATTTTGTATATTGAAACGTTCTCGCAGTAATGAGAATTTTTACAAAATATGGGAAGCAATGTCTACGTTATTGAAACTGTTAAAACCAAGACATACTTGATTCAATTCCAGGAGGTATTTTGTAACCGAGGACGCTTTCCGTTCGCACGTCAATACCAAGGTGCACAAACGACGGTTGAAAGCGCTCGAGTTGGAACCGTACAGCATCGAGGAGTCGGAGAGAGCTGCGAGCAAGGGAAGCTATGTTGCGCCACAGAAGCGGAAGATTGCAACCGTGACGCGGGAGGATCTCGACAAGAAGGACATGGACGCCGAGCCAGATGCTAAAGTGGCGAGAATAAACGAATAGTAGTCGAACAGTTCGTTTCGAATTGCCGTATCTTCACTATGACGTGAGAGAGAACTTAAATTAGAACACAATGATTAGTAATCTACGCAAATTCACGTACGCTTTAAAGCGTACGTACAGAACTTTGTTGCGCGACGTTCGTCGGGGAACTTCCCTCCCGAGCGTCGAGAGAAGCTACAGCTCGGCATTGTTCATTTCCGGGAACAAGGCTTACAAAGCGTTCGCGTATCTGTCGCCGTATCTGGACTTGGACGAAAGATTCGCCAATGTGGAAAAACTGCAGATGAATCTGGTGACGCGCGGAATGAACGTCGACGTCGTTCAGTTGAAGGAAACGTGGGATTTCTACATGAAGATGGTCGCCGACAAGTATGCGCTGGAGGACAACAACAAGGAGCTCGGCGGTCGCATAAAAATCCTGATGGAAAGCGCGGAGCGTACTGCCGAGCAGGAACAGGAGATGCTCAAGTTGACTACGCAGCTCAATGTCGTACGGAAAGATCTGAAGACGATGAAGGAAGCGCTCTGGGATGTGGAGGAAAGCGTGATGGAAAGAGTCTTGAAGCTACCGAACGAGCTGGATCCCGGAACGCCCGTTGGCGAACCGGTGATACTGAAAAGTGTCGGTAGCGTGCGCAAGATATCGGAGAAGAATATCAGCAGCCACATCGACATCGGGACGAGCCTAGACCTGTTAGAGTACAGGAATCCTCTATGTTACTATCTGGGCAACGACGCGGCCTTGTTCGAGCTTGCTGTGCTGGCGCACGCAGGCCGAGTTCTCGGTGAGAACGACATGGTCAAGATAATCGGCACGGACTTCAGCCGCAGTCTTCTAGTGGAAGCGGCCGGTTTGGATCACGAGGACCCCGCGGCCGCCTTCCTGATAGAGAATCACAACGAGGTCGAGAGGGGCTCGCCGAATCGTATGCATCTGGTCGGCGGCGCGAGCTTGATCTCTTTCCTGGCGTTTCATACGAAGCACCTGATAAATCCCAAGAATTTGCCGATCAAGTACTTCGCCACCGGCAGACAGTACACGCCGTTGCCACGGGACTCGCGCGACTGCGGCTTGTTCACGGCGTGCCAGGCCTCCGTGGCGCATGCCTTCGTCGTAGCGAAGGATTCGAAGAGCGAGGATTACAGGATGTTGTTCGAGGAACTTCTGGAGACCGTATGCAGGTTGTACGACGATGTATGCGGTCACTATCGCGTCGTTATGCGAACCGCGCCCGAACTGCAATTTTGCGAGGAGATGCGCGTATCTTTCGAGATGTGGTCGCCGTTCATGAACCAGTACGTTGAGATCGGTCACGTATCCAAATACGGCGATTATCTCAGCAAAAGATTACGGATTGTCTACCAAACGCCCACCGGAAGAGACTTTCCCGCGGTGATATCGGGCACTGTTCTCTCCGTTCCGCGTCTCCTAGCTTGCCTGCTCGAACAGAATCCCGACAAGTTCGTGATACCACCAAAAGTTGCTGAATTTGTACCGTCATAGGACCACATCGCTACGTAAATTTGAAATCAGACGAATTTCGTTCATAGTATTGCTCTATTAAAATATTTCGTATGGATAAAGTAAATAAATAAGGTAAACTTTTCAAATTAATGGAACAATCAATGTTACCGTGAAACATTGGAGACAATCGATTGATAATTAAAATCCGAATTGTAAAACACGACAAGGTGATATCCTTAGATCAGAGAACAGCAGAGATGTACATTTAGGAAATATATGTATAATGCACGTGTATTATCTGTTTCTACCAGGTTACTATTTTACAAAGTATCGATGGATGTAACGCACATTTTGAATGCTACCGCCACCATAAGTATGATGATCATCCACTCCAAACGTGATGAACGCTCAAGCGCGACTGTAAAATGCTCACTAGTTCCAATAAGTGATTTAATCTCTCGTTCATCATCTGCGTAAAAAATATATATATAGCCATACAAAAACCTAAGTTTCATGCGGAAAGCAATAAAATGTACATTGAATACTTTCGAACGTTTTGAAATAATGAAATGTCCGCAGATTCGTTGATACAAGCTTTCCAAGTCGTCTCGTTCCCAGTAGAAATCCAGGTGTATCCAACGGATCCGACGTTAAGTTGATTCGATGTCTGAGGGAGATTAATTCGCCTTGTTTCCTCAACACCACGTGCTGTGTCATTCGAATCTTCTTGCCAACTTTTAGATCCTCTGTGACGGATTCGATCGACTCGACATAGCGGTTTAACGATGCCTCCCATATGCCTAATAAACAGTCTACGCCATGGCATTGGAGAATTTCTCAAAAACAGATTTAGAGAAGTTCCCAGCTTCCTCTGCCAGGATAATATCACCATCCTTCATAAATTGTCATATCAAAGACAAGAAAAAAAATGATAATTTTAATGATATTTAATAAAATCTCAATTATCAATTAGCACATATCTTAATAACAGCAAATTCTACAATTACAAAAGTATATATGATATAATATTTCAAAGAATTTAGATATAGACATCACGTGTACATTTTTAAATTTGCTTCAAAGTCTATCCACAAAAAAGGCGTTGATTCAGTTTGCACAGATCTGATATTAATGGGATATAACTGTGTTGTTTCTCTAAACTCAAATGACTCAGTATTTCGATCAGATGGTTGTTTCAAATCCAATTTAGTGTAAACGTTGAAATAATCGTCCTTTATTTCCATTACCAGGTATATTCGCCCTATAAGATTTATCGTAGAGCAGGTTACATCCGAGCAGAGCAGTTAAAGTCATTAATTAAATACAGCAATATATTGATTTTCTACTGAAAATCTAAGACTAATTATCGGACATTTAAAACTCAGTAAATATGTATATTTTATGATTTTGCCGTTCGGCTATATTGCCTTTTCGTAAAAACCTGTTTTTGATTCTAGATATCCACATATGTACGCATTTCGCAGTTATAGTTTGTATTTTATTAGCGATTTCCCGGAGTATTTCGTACTAGGATTAGGATTTTCGATTTCTCATAAATAAGCTCTTTTTTTCATAATTTTCAGAAAAAAAAACTAAATTAAATTTTACATTTCAGCATCTTAATCGCCGCCTATTAGCGGCGATTTCCTTCAAAATGAACTATCATATTTTTTACTTATGTGTATATAAATATCTTCGGCGATTACAAAAATTAATTCGGTATCTCATACATAAGGACTCTCCTCTACATTTTGCAAAAGATAAAATCATCATTTGGTAGAATTATTTTTATACTAAATGCCAGAGTCAAATTACAAGGTCTTTGGTGGCTAAAGCCATGCTTCTTCAATATACATAGTATGATGCAAACTTCATAAAAAGAGTTAATTATGTACATTAGATATCATGACAAATATCGTAAGTTATTGTATATCAATTAAGGGTAAGAAAAGTCACAATTTTATCAATGCTGTTTAATAATATCTCACAACTATAAGCAAATTCTACATATACAAAAGATTTGATACAATATTTCAATTAAGATTTGGATATAGATATTTATGCATAAAATGTACATTTTTTAAACTTGTTTTTTAAAGTTCATAGTCAAACCAGGAATACATAAATGTCCCAGTTACTGGATATCTGACATCATTGAGAAGTAACTGCGTTTCTTTCCTCCAAACATATGAGTTATCACTATTAGGAATTTTCACATCTATTCTAGAGCAAATGTTTAATTTATTATTACTCATCTCCATCGTCCAGGTATGAATGTCCTGTAAGATTTATGACGGAGAACGTTAAGTTTGAGCAGAGCAGGAGAAATCATGCATTAAGTAAATATAGCAATATATTAATTTTCTAATAAAACAATTATCGGGCTTTTGAAACTTAGTAACTATATATATTTTATGATTCTACTGTTCGGCTATATTGCCTTTTCGAAAAACATGTTCGTGATTCTAACTGTCCATACGTATGTGCGTACTTTGCAGTTAAAGAATCAACAATGGGAAATCGTTGGAGCACGTAAGAAAATTACTAAAACCGGCGTGCAATAATTAATTTTTTAATTTGTTACTAAGAACAAAACAAGCACGATGAAAATACAAAGCATAAAAAAAGTATACCACTTTCGTAGTAATGAACATACTGCTTTTTTCCTGATGGACAAGTGGACAATGTCATACGTAACGCCGCAATTCCGTTTAATATTGCTAATACGTGTCCGTACATCCGTTAGATTAGGGAAATTCTCTGCCACCCGTACTGGTATAATTCGGTATGATCTGTAGCCTCTATCCTCGTTTATTTGTTCGTTCTGCATATTCATTTGGTATTGGATTGTACACTGGTCCGTCGGTGTACCTTCTGATGTGGTGATGGTTAAGTTGCGTTGAATTAAATGGTGTGACGACTTCGCATTGAACAATTCAGCTATCAGTACAGTGTTTGTGTCGAATTGCTCAACAATACTTTCAATAACAGTTTGTTTAACTTTTTGGTATTTAGAATCTATAACTGCTGGAGTCACTAATAATTTTTCTACGCCATACTTATTGAAATGAATCATAATCCACTGGTTGAGCTCGAAAATATCCTTTTCCTTCACAGTTCTTCCGCTTGCCTCCTCACTAGACTTCATAATTTTCAAGGAATAGATTGTTGATATCAAACAAGCCATCTTTTTACTTGTTATATAAGACAGACATATTAATGTGCCAGTTAATTCTTCAATTTGGAAAGGTTGGTTTGACCACTTCGTAATATTTTTGTTGCTTATAATAGTTGTGTTGAAATCGAATGTATATTCCGCTTTTTCATTATCATCAAATGTTTCGTTTGAGAAGATTGTGTTGAGCGCTAAATAAATCAGCAGAAAACATATAGTCAGATACAATATCAGATTACTGTAATTTCTTGTTATAAAATTTCATCTTTGCAGCCAATCTTTTAAAATTTGCAATTATGTCTTATATTTTAGATTATCTTCTAATAATTACAAGGAAGTGAAGTTCTGTGGCTAATATTAGGTAATATTATATACAGTATTATATGCATAGAAATTGTCTTCTTAGCTCAAATATCAATGTATTTAAAAAAAAGCAATGTGTTAGCGACGTAACCCTGATAGCACATAAGCCTCAGTTATGTTGCAAAGACGTTTCAATGTCTTTGCAACATAACTGAGATATAACTGAGACTTGTGCTATCAGGGAAGTGGATCGCAAAAATTTCGAAAAAATTCAGAAGTAAGTCGGTAGTGTAGACTTAATAATTCTTTTTATCTTATTTTGTATTTGTTCAATATATGTATACAGTACCTTTAATTTATTTATTTAGAATTTCAAGATTATAGATGTAGAAATGAAAGGTCGAGACTTTTTTGACAAAATGATTAATGTAACAATAAACGTGAATTTGGATTCGAATAATACTTATTAACTTACTCAGCAAGTATGGGATAAAGGGTGCGTTGAACATTGTAAAGCGCAACGTATTTCCTGACGTCGACTAATACTGCTCTCCTTTCTATTGTGAACGCCAGTGAACTCTATATATACTGGAATGAGTGATCTATTGTTCTGGCTGTTGCCGAGAGAGGTGCGTTTGGGTGAATTCTTGTCTCCTTCTAGTACTACCTGATAATCGCATATAAGTGACGAAGATAGTAATACTGAGAAGGGCGTCACTTAGTGGTAGTACTAGAAGGAGACAAGAATTCACCTAAACGCACCTCTCTCTCGGCAACAGCCAGAACAATAGATCACTCATTCCAGTATGTATAGAGTTCACTGGTGAACGCTTTCATATTAAAACATACTCTTCATCATTTAACCTTCATAAAGAGTCGTTTTAACCCGCTGGTTAGACAATACAATGTTGGTCTTAGTCTCTATGATATAAGCAATATTTTGGTAATAATGTTTACATTTTTGTAAGAATACGTTATTCCGCTTTTTAATAAGCATATATCCGTTTGGGAGGACTGCGTCAAGCACTAAATAACAAAAAAATGGTCGATGATTCCACCAAAGATCGCCGAAATTATACAGTCAAACGATCACGTTGCTATGTAAGTTAGAAATGAGAAGAATTTCGTCCATGCTATTGCTCTAGTGAAATATTTTATTTCGTAAAAATAGGTAAACTGTTTAAATTGACAGAGGGATCAGTATTGCCGTGAAAGATTGGAGCAATTGAGTCATAATTAAAGCACAAATTGTACAACTCGATGAGGCGATATTTTTAGACCAGAATACAGCAATAATGTATAATATATTTAGAAAATATAGTATATACATAATATATTTTTGTGTAAATGTACTTGTATGTACATACATGTCATTTGGTTTTTTTTGTGTGTAAATGTAAATTATCTATTACTAGGTTGCTATTTCACGAGGTACCGATCGATGTAATGCAAAACTTCGAAAGCTACCTCCACCATAATAAGTATGATAATCATCCACTCCAAACGAACGTGATGACGATCGCTCAAGTGTGACGATAAAATGCTCACTAGTTCCAAGCAGTGATTTAATCTCTCATTCATCACCTAAAAGGAATGTGCCGTACAAAAAGTACAAGTGTCATACAGACGGCAACAAAATGCACGTTGAATACTTACCCTTGTACGTTTTGCGATACTAAAGTATCCGCAGATTCGTTGATACAAGTTTTCCAAGTCGTCTCGTTCCCAGTAGAAATCAGGTGTGTCCAATAGATCCGACGTTAGGTTGATTCGATGTCTGAGGGAGAATAATTCGCCCTGTTTTCTCAACACTTCGTGCTGCGTCATTCGAATCTGCTTGCCAACTTTTAGGTCTTCTGTGACGAATTCGATCGAGTCGACATAGCGATTTAACGATGCCTCCCATATGCCTAACTTGACAGATTGCGCCATGGCATTGGAGAACGTGTACTTGTCCAGATTGCCAGCTTCTTGTGCCAGGATAATATCGCCATCCTTCAAGTGGCTCTTTTTCCTGTTAATTATCAAGAGTTATTATAAATTCGCAACTTATCTCACCCAATAAATTTCAAGAATGTAAAACCATTTGTTAACAAAAAAAAGTAAAGATACCCGGAATCCGCGTAAGTATAATTCATTAACTCGCTTTCGCTATGAACCAGCTCTTCCATGTAACGATTTTCCTCGTAACGTCTCAAAAATTGCATCAGGTTGCCGCACTCGAGATCAGAAATATTCCACATAACAATGCTACCTTCTCGGAAGAAAAAGATCTCCCGTGGTTCATGCCCTACTTCGTACTTGGCCACCGCATGTATAACATCAGGCAAGGCTGCAAAAAAGCAATTCAAGGTATAGAACTGTTACGTCCCGTGTAAGCCTTCTCCTCATTCATATATACGCATACCTCTCGCTCAGTAGCCTAAACAAATCGTGCATTATCGCTCCTGAGATAGGAGATAAATATGACTCACAGACTAGAAGGAACTGCCCAGTAGCTCTTTAGAAATAAAATTCTTCCTTCAATAAACCAATATGCGCATATATTTATAACAATTATAGCAACTCCTTTAATGCGAAACGAATATTACTTGTTTTTCTTTTTCCACCTCTTTTGCAATGCTTAATAAAATATTTTGTATCTGAGAATCTAGAAAAGGTAGAACTACGATTCAAAAACGGAGATACTTCGCTTCGCATAAGGATGAGAACAAAGTTTATCAGAAATGTATTATTTAAAACCTCTTAACTTTTAAGGCAAGATTCGATAGAGTCGGGGGTAGGGATAGCGCGGATCTTTGTCCCCCACTACGACCTAATGACAAAACTACCGATTGGCTCTTAGAAGACCCTTCCACACCTACTCTTAGGATATATAAATAGCCCTTCCGAGCTCGTAGACGCGCTAGTTCTCCAGTAGTAGCACTCTTTAGTCAGTA